GCCTGCGCCGCGCTCAGCCAGTGAGCGGGAACCGGTCACCACATGGGATCCGAACCCTCGGTGGGAGTGCCGCCACACTCCCAAGTGGCGCACTCTCTGGTGCGCCACCGGGCCGGCCAGCACCACTATCTATTTTGGGAACTTTTTCGTTATCATCAAGTCTTTTCTTTTTCAGTGTGTAATCTGTTAATATCATCCATTATAGTTTTCATTTCAGACATTGTATTTAAAAAAAATCTTTGATAAATTTTTGTTTAAATTTATTTATTATTATTTTTTACATTCTAAGATGTTGCGGAGCCAGTGGTATTAGGCCTTTACTGGTTAATATCACAACTTTGTCTCTGATCTGTGGGTGTTCTGTGTCTTCTTTCAGTTCTGTGTTGGATTGTTTGCTGTTGCCACCACTTAAACTCTGCAAACGAATTTGGAAACACTGGAACAAATTTGTTGTCTTTTTGTTACTTCTAAAATGGGGGAACTTCCTGTGGGGACCAGCACTTGAGCTGTGTGGTTGAGCTAAATTGCTATTTTGCTGCTGATTCTCTGGGGAAGGCTTTTTTGTGCAGCTCAGGTTTTAATTGTTGACCTTGCAAGCACTTCCCGGTCTCGTGAGGTTTGGTACACCTGGGCTGTGTGGAAACTCTGGTCTGGGCCCAAGTCTTTCCAGAAAACTGCACTCCCTGCAGTTCTATATTCCTGACCAGTCTCTGCCGAGTGGTCCTGAACTGAGTAGGGGTCAGATCATCTGTCCTTGCTGTGCCCCAGTGTTCCCCCAGTGGGCCCGTTTCCCCCACCGCCTGTGCTCCAAACACTTCCCATGGGACAGGCCATGCACTGGTTCCTTGCAATGACTCATCAGCCTCTTTGTGGCTCCTTTTTTCAGTTGTCTATGGCCCCTTGCTCCTATGTGGGTCCACAGGAACCCTGTCAGTGGTCTTGCTGGCCTGGGGACCACCACGGCCGTCCTCTCCCCTGCCAAGGAGCTTCACACAAAGGGCACACCTGTGGTTTTTGTCAGCTCTTGCTCCGTGTGCTCATCAGGGCCAGCCTTAAAATGGCTGGGGCTTCATCCCTTGTTTCTCTCATCACAGCTTCTCCTGCCTTCATGAACTCCATAGGTTTCTCCTCCTCTTCCCCTGAGCTCTACTGGCCCCAGCTTGGCAGTCTTTGCCTTTTAATAGATGTAAATTGGTTGATTGTAGGAGAGAGTGATGCTGGGGACCGTCCATCCCACCATCTTTATTCTCCCAGCAAAATTTTTGATGTTGTATTTTTTCAGTTACCAGCAGTTCCATTATATTAAATGTGTCTCTTTTTATTATGCTCATTATTTCCTCCACCTTCCTTAACATGCAGGTATATGTTTATCTTATTGTCTTTGTCTAATAATTCTATCATGTATGTCATTTCTGGGTCTGTTTTTAGTGACTGCTTTTTCTCTTCATTATGTCGTATGTCGTATTTTCTGGCTTTAAAAACAAAAACAAATACCTGGTAAGTTTAGATTGGATGCCAGACATGAATTTTACATTATTGGGTGCTAGTTTTTTTTAGTATTTCTTTAAATATTTTGAGGCTGTTTTTCTGGGATGCAATTAATATGCCAGGAAACAGTTTGGCCAGTTTGAGGCTTCCTTTTTAAGCTTTCTTATGTGGGTTTAGGCCTTTAGTTTAGGCTGCATTTGGTCCCTCTACTGAGGACTCCATTCAGTGCTTTGTGAGTCAGGATGTCTTTCTCCCATGGCTGGTGGGAAGACCAGCTGTTCCCACCCTTGTGTGAACTCCAGGGATTGTTCTAGCTGACTCTTCCCTGGCTTCAGGAGTTCACTTTGGCAGCACATATACTAAAATAGGAGTTCCTTCGCAAACTGCTGAGCAGTACTCAGCTGTAGACTCAAGTGCTCTCTGCTGATTTCCACAGAGCTCTTTTGTGCAGCTCTGTCTTGTCCAGTACTCTGCTCCATGGTTTCTAGCTGCCTTGGCCTCCCTGAACACTGAATTCTCTCCGTTCTTTCTCTGAGACAGCCTGAGAGCTCCCCAGGCGGTCTTCTGGGATGATTATAGGGCTTGCTTGCTTTGCTTCCCTGCTCTAAGGAATCAGTGTCATGTGCCTCCTGTTGTTCAATGACTGAAAACTCTTATTTCATATATTTTGTCTGATATTCTAAGCTACTTCTTAAGACAGAATAGTTAAATCCGATTTTTGGGTAGAAGCAAATTTCTTGACTGCTTATTTTATATTAATTTTAAACACTATTGATTCAATGCTTGGAAGATAAATTTGTAATGGCTGTATCCTATTCATAGTTTAAGTGTATCTATATCCATGTTGAATAAGCAGGTGTTCAGACATAAAATAAACATTGTAAGCTCATGGGATGTTATGTCTGAGAAAACCTTTAGAAACTAAAATGTTTTATAAATGTTATGACATAAGCTCTCACTGTCATTTTATATAATTTCAATTGCCTTGAAGTTGAATGGCTTTCTTGTTTATGTTCTGGTTCCCAGCGTGAGTGTATCTCTATCCACGTGGGGCAGGCAGGTGTCCAGATTGGCAATGCCTGTTGGGAATTGTACTGCCTTGAACATGGAATTCAGCCTGATGGTCAAATGCCAAGTGACAAAACCATAGGCGGTGGGGATGACTCGTTCAACACGTTCTTCAGTGAGACTGGGGCTGGCAAGCACGTGCCCAGAGCAGTGTTTGTGGACCTGGAGCCCACTGTGGTCGGTAGGTGCTCGGGCACTGGATGGTGGCTTTCCTGGGAGGGAGGAAGAGCCTCACGTTGGCTCCTTTGAATCCCTTTGCAGAAAGGACAGGACATACAAGCGTATGCTCATGCCATTGTTGGTGACAACCTGAAAGGTTAATGATTGTGCGACTCAGGCTGCTAGTTTAGGAAAACCTGACCTACAGGGAAAAGCTGCTTTGCCAGCAGTAAGATGGGCTGTGCAGAGATTCATTGGTGGCATCGGTCAGGTGGCATCTGTAGGTCCCGCCTGCAGAGAGCACAGGTGTGGGTTCCCTCCTTGATGCTGTGTACACACTCATGCTGGTGCACGAGAGCCTTGCCCTGCATCTAAGACATAAAAAGGTAAGTATAGAACATTCATTTGGTTCCTCTAGACTTGGTGCCCAAGGTGTTTTCCAAGGAAAGCTGCAAAGAAAGCATCTGTCAGTGGCTCTCTAGGAGATGACGGAATGTCATCTGAAAGCATGTGAGACCCAGGCCATGTAGGGTACCCCAGTGACCTGGTACCTACCCAGTTTGTGAGGGATTTTAAAATTATACCCTTTGATGTAGCTCTGGGTAGGAAGAAATATATATCTGTAGAATTACCCGTGTTGGGTATGAGAGCTCGTTTCCCTTCACTGGGAACCAGTGGTGCTGGCATTTGTACCATGAGTTGAGTTTACCTTCCTAGAGCCATCATTTGCAATTGTGGTTTGTGTATCACACACAGACATTTATTTACATTGTTGACCTGTGAGGAACAGCATGTGCTCTGTAGAAATGAATAGTCCCAGACATGTCCATCTTGGTGAGTACAGTAGGCCTTAAAGACTCACAGCACACGTGGTGTCATTGCAGATGAAGTGCGCACAGGGACCTACAGGCAGCTCTTCCACCCGGAGCAGCTGATCACAGGGAAGGAAGATGCAGCCAATAATTATGCCAGAGGCCATTACACCATCGGGAAGGAGATCGTGGACCTGGTTCTGGACCGAATCCGCAAACTGGTAAGAAGATCTCCGAGACAGCTCCATGTGGACGTCATCCTGCAGGGAGGGTAGGCCTTGGATTGCGAAGGGGAGGTCGTTACATCAAAACTTAGACCAGAATCACGAGCATGACTGCAACAGTCCTGCTGTGAAGTGTGCCTTGCGGTACACCCACAGGCCTTCATTGTTTTGATTTCTTTGCCTCTAAGTGTAATGCGTGTTCATCATGGATGACTTGAACCTGTATCCACTTGCAGAGGCAAACAGAAGAGACCCTGGCTTGTTGGAGGCTGGTGGCGTGGCTTTGCGGGCTTGCGCTCACGTTGTCTGGTTTCTTTCAGGCGGATCTGTGCACGGGACTGCAGGGCTTCCTCATCTTCCACAGCTTTGGGGGTGGCACCGGCTCTGGGTTCGCGTCTCTGCTCATGGAGCGGCTCTCGGTGGACTACGGCAAGAAGTCCAAGCTGGAATTTGCCATTTACCCAGCCCCCCAGGTGTCCACGGCCGTGGTGGAGCCCTACAACTCCATCCTGACCACCCACACGACCCTGGAACATTCGGACTGTGCCTTATATTCTAAGCTACTTCTTAAGACAGAATAGTTAAATCCGATTTTTGGGTAGAAGCAAATTTCTTGACTGCTTATTTTATATTAATTTTAAACACTATTGATTCAATGCTTGGAAGATAAATTTGTAATGGCTGTATCCTATTCATAGTTTAAGTGTATCTATATCCATGTTGAATAAGCAGGTGTTCAGACATAAAATAAACATTGTAAGCTCATGGGATGTTATGTCTGAGAAAACCTTTAGAAACTAAAATGTTTTATAAATGTTATGACATAAGCTCTCACTGTCATTTTATATAATTTCAATTGCCTTGAAGTTGAATGGCTTTCTTGTTTATGTTCTGGTTCCCAGCGTGAGTGTATCTCTATCCACGTGGGGCAGGCAGGTGTCCAGATTGGCAATGCCTGTTGGGAATTGTACTGCCTTGAACATGGAATTCAGCCTGATGGTCAAATGCCAAGTGACAAAACCATAGGCGGTGGGGATGACTCGTTCAACACGTTCTTCAGTGAGACTGGGGCTGGCAAGCACGTGCCCAGAGCAGTGTTTGTGGACCTGGAGCCCACTGTGGTCGGTAGGTGCTCGGGCACTGGATGGTGGCTTTCCTGGGAGGGAGGAAGAGCCTCACGTTGGCTCCTTTGAATCCCTTTGCAGAAAGGACAGGACATACAAGCGTATGCTCATGCCATTGTTGGTGACAACCTGAAAGGTTAATGATTGTGCGACTCAGGCTGCTAGTTTAGGAAAACCTGACCTACAGGGAAAAGCTGCTTTGCCAGCAGTTGCCCCGGTCATCTCGGCTGAGAAGGCCTACCATGAGCAGCTGTCTGTGGCCGAGATCACCAATGCCTGCTTTGAGCCGGCTAACCAGATGGTCAAGTGCGACCCTCGCCATGGCAAGTACATGGCCTGCTGCATGTTGTACANTGATAATTTATTCAGTGATATCTTTTGGACTTCCTTTCTGAGTCATTATACTATATATATATCTGTGGTGAGCATATTTTTTTTAATAGGATGGGGTATTTTCTGAAGTACTTTTGTGTCCCTTTCTTGGTGGTAGGATTAGTGTGGGAAATGTAGGTGGAACTTTGAAATGTAATAATTTTATGGGCATTTTGGTGATTTATGTGGATAGTGTATAAATTTTAAATTGCAATATTACTATAAACTGACTGCCGTCACCAAATCCCACTTCATTTCATAGGTATGTAGAAATTAATTCCAATTTAAATGTCCTATGGAGTGTTTGATTTAAAGAGAAACTATCATGAATCTTTTTACAAAGAAAATGACAACATCTTTCTCTCTCTCTCTTGGTTAGCCCAGAAATTCTGGCCTGGGTTTGCCTCAAACAAATTTGTACCAACCTTCTATTGATCCACGATAAAAACCTGCTGCCACTTTTCAGCTTTTCCCATAGTTGATTAGTGAATCCTGTCAATTCCTTCTGTCATAGAACTGTGTGTCCCAGTGCTTTGCTTTTCATGCTGCCTCCTCTGGTTCAGACCCTCACTGCTTCTGGTAGTGGGTTCTACCAGAACTGCAGTAATATAAAACTAGGATTTCTTACTAGAAGATAGGGAGACGTTATCTTCCTCTTTTTCAGAGGTTAGCACGGTTAGTGGACCAGCTGCCTACTTTTGTAAATAAGATTTTGTGTGAACACAGCCACATCTGTTAGTTTACATATTGTTCATGGCTGCTTTTGCAGTACAACAGCAAAGTTGAGTAGTTGTGACAGAGACCATGTAGCCTCTAAAGCCTAGAATTTGAACTATCTCTTTACAGAAAAAGTTTGGTGACCCCTGCTGTAGTTGACTCTAGGCACTGTTGCCAAAACCTGTGGGCATGTTGTTCCCTGGTTGTCAAACTTGGAATACCTCCCCTTTGGTCTCCAGTTTGAATGTCATGCCCCCCCACTTAATTAAGCACACATAGCAGCATTCATATGACCTTTGATATGTCACCTTTGCATATGACCATAGTGGCTGGTGTGGTCTTTCCTGGTGATATCACAGTTGTATACTCTGAATCTGTCTGGTTGGAAAAGGTTTCAGCTACAGAAATTGATTACCATTTCAAGTGAACCACTTCAAGTGAAATCTGTTTATAAAAGAACTTGTTGAAGCCTGTGGAGAAAATAATCCATGAGGAGTACAAAGCATTGTACATTTTCAGAGGGAAGACAGTCCCTTTACCTGGGCACCTATCACATGTCACAGTTGCTGGGATACAGCCCTTCAGGTAGCTTGGGATCGAGCCAGGGTGGCTGACTCCAGGGCTTCTCTTTCCTAGCATTTTTTTTGTGTGTGGAGCCATAACCCTGCTGTCCTGGCACTTTGCCTGGTGCAAAGAAGGGCTCAGTGACTGTTTGTGTGGTAAACCAGGTGTTCTCCCTGAATGCCAGGGGGCACTTACAGGGTGTCTTCTGTAGTCACTGTCTTTGGGCTGGCTAGAAGCTTCATGGAATGCTTTCTTCCCTGTCTCCCACAGGTGGGCATTAACTACCAGCCCCCCACTGTGGTCCCGGGGGGAGACCTG